TGGCGTCTCCCCGTGGCCAGTGCACCAGGTCGCGCGGGCGTCCTCACGCGGAAGTCGGAAAACGGCGTGGGAAAATACTCCTTTGCATGTGATCCTGGAACATAAATCGAACAAAAATCCTGATTAGTAATGAAATTTGGGTTTTTTTTAAATTTTCAAAAGTTGTGGCTTTAAGAAAAAAAAGTCCATTTTTTCACCCTAAAATTGCTTACAAAATCGTGGATTAAAAATCCATTTTTGACAAAATCGAAAATGTGGATAAGTATTTCTAACTTACCTTACCAATCAGGCTAAGGCCTTGTTGTCCTCTGCTGTCCGAAGAAGTCGTCTCCACTCTACTCGATCCATGGCCACAGTTCGCCAGCCTCGTAGTCTGCGAAGGGTCCGCAGGTCACCTTCTACTTGGTCGATCCACCTTGCCCGCTGCGCGCCTCTTCTTCTTGTTCCTGTTGGGTCGCTTTCTAGAACCATTTTCACTGGGTCGTCGTGCGGCATTCTTACGACGTGCCCAGCCCACCGTAGTCGCCCAATTTTTGCAATGTGGACGATGGATGGTTCTCCCAGCAGCTGGTGCAATTCGTGGTTCATTCGCCTCCTCCACGTTCCGTCATCCATCTGCACTCCACCGTAGATGGTACGCAACACCTTCCGTTCGAAAACACCAAGGGCGCGTTGGTCCTCCACGAGCATAGTCCAGGTCTCGTGGCCGTAAAGGACCACCGGTCTAATCAGCGTCTTGTAGACAGTCAACTTCGTGCGGCGGCGAATTTTATTCGACCGGAGCGTCCTCCGGAGTCCAAAGTAGGCACGATTCCCTGCCATAATGCGTTTTTGAATTTCTCTGCTGGTATCATTTTCGGCGGTCACCAGTGAGCCCAAATACACGAACTCATCGACCACCTCGATTTCGTCACCGTCAATCTGAACTCGGGGTGGGAGGCTAACATTGTCTTCCCTAGAACCTCTTTCTTTCATATATTTTGTCTTTGATGCGTTGATGGCAAGTCCAATCCGTCTAGCTTCAGCCTTCAGTCTGATGTACGTTTCCGCCATCATCTCAAAGTTCCGTGCCATAATGTCAATGTCATCGGCGAAACCAAGGAGCTGGATGGACTTCCTGAATATCGTGCCACTCGTGTCTATCCCAGCTCTTCTGATCACACCTTCTAACGCGATGTTGAACAGCAGACACGAAAGTCCATCACCCTGCCGTAACCCCCTTCGAGATTCAAAGGGACTCGAGAGTGTCCCCGATACTCGAACAACGCACGTCACTCGATCCATCGTCGCCTTGACCAATCGCGTCAGTTTATCCGGAAATCCGTACTCGTGCATAATCTGCCATAGCTGATCTCGATCGATTGTGTCGTATGCGGATTTGAAATCGATGAACAAATGATGTGTGGGCACGTTGTATTCGCGGCATTTCTGCAGAACCTGCCGAATCGCGAAAATTTGGTCCGTGGTAGCGCGGGCACCCATGAATCCCGCCTGGTATTGCCCCACGAACTCTCTTGCATATGGTGACAGACGGCGGCATAGAATTTGGGAGAGTACCTTGTAGGCGGCGCTTAGCAGTGTGATCGCGCGGTAGTTGCAGCAATCCAACTTGTTGCCCTTTTTGTAGATTGGGCATACGACACCTTCCATCCACTCCTCCGGTAATATCTCCTCCTCCCAAATCTTGGCAATTACCCAGTGCAGCGCTCTTGCCAGTGCTTCACCACCGTATTTCAATAGCTCACTTGGTAGTTGATCTACACCAGTTGCTTTGTTGTTCTTCAGCCGACCGATCTCCTCCTCAACTTCTTGAAGATCAGGGGCCGGTAGTCTGTCGTCTTCTGCGCGTGCTCCAAGGTCTGTTGCCGTGCCACCTTCGTTTTCTGCTGCTTCACCGTTGAGGTGCTCGTCATAGTACTGCTTCCACCTCTCAATCACCTCACACTCGTTCGTGAGAAGGTTACCGTCCAAGTCCTTGCACATATCGGCTTGCGGCACGTAGCCTTTGCGCGAACTATTTAGCTTCTCGTAGAACTTCCGTGTGTCGTTTACGCGGTACAGATTTTCCATCGCCTCGCGATCTCGATCTTCCTGCTGACGCTTCTTCCTTCGGAAAACCGAGTTTTGTCTGTTCCGCGCTTGTCTGTATCGCTCCACATTCAATCTCGTGCGGTGTTGCAGCATTCTCGCCCGTGCTGCATTCTTCTCCTCTACTAACAGTTTGCATTCGCCGTCAAACCAGTCATTTCTTCGGTCCGGGATTGCAGTACCTAGTGCCGCTACAGCAGTACTACCTATGGCTGAACGGATGTCCCTCCAGCCATCTTCAAGAGAAGCTGCGCCAAGCTGCTCTTCCGTGGGTAGTGCAACTTCCAGCTGCTGCGCGTAGTCCTGGGCAACTCCGGTGTCCCGTAGTTGCTCAATGTTGGGTCGTGGCGTTCGACTTCGACGTGTGTTATGCACCGTCGAGAGTTTTGAGCGCATGCATACTGCAACTAGGTAGTGGTCCGAATCTATGTTCGCACTGCGGTACGTGCGGACGTTGATAATGTCGGAGAAGAATTTCCCGTCGATTAGAACGTGATCGATTTGGTTTTCTGTGTGTTGGTCAGGTGATCTCCAGGTGGCTTTGTGGATATCCTTGCGGGGGAAAAAGGTACTTCGAACTACCATACCCCGGGAGGCTGCAAAGTTCACGCATCGTTGGCCGTTGTCGTTCGATACGGCATGCAGGCTGTTTGGCCCGATTGCCGGTCTATACATTGCCTCCCGTCCTACCTGAGCGTTCATGTCGCCGATGACGGTTTTGACGTCCCGTTGCGAACAGCCGTCGTACACCTGCTCCAGCTGCGCATAGAACGCTTCTTTCTCGTCGTCGGGTCTCCCTTCGTGTGGGCAGTGCACGTTGATGATGCTGTAGTTGAAGAAACGGCCCTTAATCCTCAACTTGCACATCCTCGCGTTGATCGGCTGCCAACCAATCACGCGTTGGCGCATCTTACCCAGCACTACAAAGCCGGTTCCCAGCTCGTTGGTGGTGCCACAGCTCTGGTAGAAAGTAGCCGCTCGATGCCCGCTTTTCCATACCTTTTGTCCCGTCCAGCAAAGTTCCTGCAGTGCTACGACTTCGAAGTTGCGTGGTTGAAGTTCGTCATAGATTAACCTATCGCAACCCGGGAAGCCGAGCGATTTGCAGTTCCATGTTCCGAGTTTCCAATCGTAGTCTTTATTTCGTCGCGTAGGTCTGTGCCGATTGTTCCGATCCGTATTTCTTTCTTCGGTATTTGCAACTTTGTTTTTTTTCCATGGCGGCTTGTTGGGCCTGCCACAACCCCCTGTCTCGCCGGGGGACCATCGTGCACAGCTCTGTTTAGAGTCCCACGCTGGCACTAGGACGGTGATCAGCCGCTCCTAACATGGAGAACAGACGCCGTTTTGAGCCGCACCTCCATGGTGAGCAGACGCTCAGGTTAAGTATTTCTAAGCAGAATTTAATTCTGAACAAGAAAACCTAGGCGATATCCAAATTTGATGATAACTGGTTAGAGTTATTTCCCACGCCAGTTTGAAAAACCCCGTTTCGAGATAAACGCGTTTAAAGATAAAATTGCTCTCTCAGGTACATGTTTTAGGAAATCACTTCGTAAAGCGGTAAGGAATATTCTGGCGGACTTGGAGTCTTTTCTTAATTAAAGTATACATCCCAAGGAACATTTTAAGCCAAAAAAATGCATTTTTTGAAAAATCAAAGTGTACTCCCCCCTTAACAATATTTCGTCTACTGCCCACTCGTCCCTGATGTTGACTTGTTTGGGGCAGTAAGCCGCAACGATGGTGATGGGGCCGACAGGAGTAGAAACTTCTACCCCTACGGCTTCGATTATCTTCAGCTGAAAGCTCGGCAGCATCCGACAGTACATGTTCCTCCTTAAAGAGATGGCCACTCCTCCTCCCCGGGATCTGGTTCGATCCAGCCTTACAAGCCGGAAATCGGGAAGGAAGACGTTAATCTCAGGCTTCAGGTGCGTTTCGGTGATGATGGTGATATCGATGTTTCGTTCGTTGAGGAATTCAACGACCTCCATGCTCTTACTCTTGAGCGAGCAAGCGTTGGCTTCACGGTCTACACTTATTGAAGAGGGATACACGGCAATCAAAACCTGATGATCGTTATGATGAGCATGGTAAAGTTGTTTAGGAATCCGAATAAATCATATTCTCTAAAATCAGATAAAATATGGATTAATATATTAAATTTAAATAACAATAAAAAACCAAACAGTTTTTGAAAGACCGTGTCATTTTCTCCATACATCTTACAAACACAAATTACACATATATTGGTTGGGGGGGGGGGGGGGGGGAATCATGATTTTCAGAAATTTTAGGGGTTACAAATTACAAAACTAAAACATATTATTTATTCCGGCCTAATTTGTTAATCAAATTTCGAAATACACTCAATAGCCGGTGTTTCCTTCATATAAATGGGCCAGGCTTCAATAAAGCACTACTGGTGAAAATGAATTCATCTTTCGGTACACTGCATGACTCGGGATATGTCAAATCGCTTGAAATGCTCATACACGCTACAATACCGGGCAAAACAGCCAAAATGCAAAAAAAAAACTGTCTAGCGGAGCAAATTTCCTCGCCTTCTCTTGAATATACCATTGCTGCCACCATCATCATCACCATCATCATCATTATAATCATCGCCGTGGCAGCGATCATGATGAACCAGGAAAGCCGGTATGTATGCTGCTAACGTGCTTCCATGGGGTGGTGGATGATCATATGGCTCTGCGCTGGGTGGATTGTGGCAGGCCGGCCGGTACGAGTGAATTTACTGCACTACTGAGTAGATCTGCAACAGAGAGAGCGCTCCTTTCCTATGTGCTGCTGCGTGAGTTGTTTTCGCCTCTTTTTATTTCTCCAGTTCTAGCCACCCGATGAGCAGAGTTTCTATGATAAAATTTCATTTGAATTTGAATTTTGAATCAGTTGTTGCTTGCACGTTGCTGTGAACGGTTGTGCCTGGTAGTGACGCCTTCAGGATTGTGTTTTCCGGCTTTCCACATTTTTATACAACAAGGGAGAAATTGGAGTGTAGACTGCATCTACCATTGATCAGTATCAGGATCATTTGGATTCATCGGTTTGGAATATAGAGACTGTGAGAGAGTGAGGGACCAAAAGCAAGCTGCTGAGCAGTCTCATTGGCCATACGAGTGCTGAACGTCGAACCGTACGGATTACCTCCCGAGTTTTCTTCTGTGAAGAAAGTTTGCTAGTGCTTTAACCAGTGCCTTACCGAGTGCCACACCAGGTCCTCAGTAATACAAGTGCAGTGCGCGCGTGTTGACACGATACCGATCTTGAGAATCACATTTTCCTCGAGGAACTGCTAAACTTTTAAACCCATTTTCAAAATGAGAGAAATCGTTCATCTGCAGGCCGGTCAGTGCGGAAACCAGATTGGTGCTAAGGTAAGCGCAGCTGCTTGTTCTAACAAATCCTCTCCTGCAAATCAAACGATTACTAACTGTGAACGGAATTCTCGGTCACAGTGAACGTGTGCGTGTGTGCAATGTGTTTAATAGATAACAAAATGCGCAATCGGTGACTCTGTCGACTGACTAATATTTGCGGTTATAGAACTTTCGGGGTGAACGGAGACCGAGGACTTACCCGGACAGAGAGTGAAATCACTATCAGAAGTTGAGAATTGCTACGGAAGTCTGAACACAGCAACATGTTCGCGCGAACCGTGTAGAATTCTGTTGGCTGAAGTAAAAGCGAGTGAATGTAACTGTGATAAGAAAATTGATACGTTTCGTAGCAAACAGCTGTGGAAGGGGAGGCAGAATGGTTTGCAGAGCGGAACGAAACTCCGAGAAGGTCTTCTGTCCGGGCTAACAATGAACTGTGTCGCGTGGAACTGTGGTCGGACACAGGGAACCGGGTCTAAAATTATGGATATATATAGTGGGTGATGTGATTTTCTTTCAATCAGGTCAAGGGGTGGACTTGTGTCATTAGTATTTACGAAGTTGACCATACAGTTTTTGACTGTTTTTTTTATTTCGCAAGTTTGTCGACGTAAGTCCAGAAATGACATGAAGTTAAGATATTATTCAGAGAAAATGTTTGAAGACGGTTAACGAAGATTGATATCTATTCTAATCTAATGTTACACCAACACAGTTCATGAAAGCATTCTGGAAAATGATGGTAGCATACATACCGGCTTTCCTCCATATTTTTTCTTGTTTATTTGACATATGTTTCACATCAGAGATTCACAACACACATCAAAACGGCCAGGCCCACTGTGCGGCATTTAAGGGACAAGATGATTCAGTAACATCGGGCCTGTTTGTTACAATCCAATACATATATGAAACCTGGACATCTCGTACCGTACGCTGGACGTTCAACGAGGATTGGTATTAAATAAAAGTATTATTTTCTCCGAAAATGGTCATGGAACTATTCAAGAATTTCTGATTTTCCACAGTGCTTTGTGGAAATTCCTATGAACTTCTTGAACTTATTATACAAAATCATTAACTTTAGTGCTATTAGGAATCTAATATTATGAACCGTGTCGGTATTTTGAAGTCCTCAATGTTTTAGATAATATGATTTAAGGGACTTTTGTTAAAAGGCATTTAAAGATAAGACGTACAATTCCTTTGGAAATGGTCTTTAAAATTATTCAAATATCACCCATGTTTTGACGACTCCACCTCAATTTAGTTTTAAAGCGTCTCGTCCACTGTTTTGTTCACCAATTTTTCATCTGAGCTGCCGTTTTGATTGCTATACTTTTTACTTTCAGTTTCCTTTTAATAATAGCTCAGTAGTTTTCAATAGGCCTGAACTGGGTACAATTGGACAGATTGAGGGTTTTCTGAACAGACTGGACTTCGTTGTCATTGTACCATTGTTGTACTTCCCGGCTGTAGTGATAACTCGCAAGATCCGGCCAAAATGTCACCGACCTTAATGTGACTGGATGTAGGGCAGAATTCGTTTCTGGAGACATTGGGTTTTGAAAACCTCCGAGTTCATCATTTTCTCAGTGACGAAAACCTTTGTCTTCTGGTCGCAGCTGCGAATTCCCTGAAAGATCCAATAAATAGTTGTGTTCGAATTTGTCCGCAAAAATAAATTTGAATCTGCCAGAGACCTCCTGGAGCCTTTGCATTATAACATGTTGGTCCTGGAAGCTGTTCGAAGTCGGCCTTTACATAGGTTTCATCACCATACGTATGAACCCACCGGACTTGGTCAGCAGGTTGTCATACAGCTTTCGAGCACGGGTCCTAGCTACAGTATTTTGCTTGAGTGATCGATTTGGTTGCCTAGTGAAGCGGTATGCCTGTAAGGCTTCGCGGTAGCGAATTCGCTGTACTGTACTATGGGCGGCATCATACTTTTTACTCAAATCGTGATTTAACATACCAGCGTTGCTTCTGGTGGACCTCATGACCTTTCCATGGAGCTGACGGTTGGCAGTTCCACTCTGGCGTTTACTTGGAGGTTTCCAATTCGTCGTCAAGGTTTTCCTGTACGTTTTGAGCACGCGCCATACGGATGGATTGGATTTTCCAGGTTACTGCGCACGATTTTTGTTCAATGCTCCTCTTGCATGGTGACTATCTCCATAACAAGAGCGTTTCATGACCTGGAAAAATACACTGTTATTGTTATTGTTGTTGTCAACAAATATATGTCAAAATCTTCCGAAAACGTCCACTAGGAGCGTTGTAATAAGCAGAAGAGTTTGTTCTATTACTAAATTACATGGTTTATTAAATTCGATTTAGTGTTCACAAGTTTTAATAATTTACTGATAATAATACTGTCAAAAATAATGTCAATTGCTTGTTATCGTAGCTCAATTACTAGGTACTAGGTATTGCATGAAATTCTTAATTATTGTCTGAAATTCTAAGACCCATCTGATATCAACTCCGCATAGATTGAGAAACGCTGTTCTCGACAAATGTTCCTTGAGTCATACACTACATAACCTAAGAATGTGGTATTATTGCTGTGGAAGAACTACATATAGGTTTGCAGTAAATCACAAAAATCTTGAATAAAACCCTAAATCGAAAGGCGACCTAAATAAGACGTCATGTTAGATCGCAAGGTGTCGATTTCTAGGAATTCAAGGCACGCCTACACAAACCAACACATCCATTGAGTAGGAGAAATCTTCCCCTACTCGATGGTGATGTCGATTTGCCAGATAAAAAATAAAATTGTTGCTTTGGATATGTTCTTCTCATAGAATGATAAAAAGATTGTCACACAAACGAATAGTTAGACACATCTTCCCTTCTTTTTTTCATCAGGCTTATCAAGGCATTCACTCAATAATTATAAACATTGTATTGCTATTGTCAGGTGTTAATGACTTCACTATGAAGCTCATAATTTATCGGCTAATTCTACCCTTTATAACATCTCTCGGCAAACTTTGTTGCATGAGCAAAACCCACCATTTAAACCTAACGTTCCCCTATGATAACATCAATTGAAAGCCTCATTCTACTCGGCACAAGAGTATGTTTCCTCTTTCTCGGGCTCTTTATATCACCTTTATCCCCATCCACTGCTTTTCTTTTCTGTTTTTGCAAAAAGCACTTTACAATTTCTAGAGCCACACGCTGATGGCCTGGCAACATTTGAACTCTGCGCTTGTTCGAGACAGCTTCATACCTACATGGCGTTCCCCACGAGAGAAGATCGTCTTATCTCCCCATCCGAACCCGGCTTTTGGTTCCAATAGAGAGAATTCCGCTCGTCGTAGGCATTCCATAACTTCCACACGGCTGACCGGCCGGCCGACAGTCACTTACTCGCGGAATCACACCACATCTGATGTTACTGGCCTTATTTCCTGGATTTGCACTGCATATGAAGCGCAATGTTGGTCTGCCTCTTCCACACCCTTCCTGTGCTGAGCGCTCTAGATCCGAACTGAGACGGTTAGCCTTGGCAGCAGCAGCAACAGTTAGCAGTTGGTGTGTGGTCTATGCCAGCGTATTATGGCTTGTTTATGCGGCCACAAGACGCGTACTCATCAGAGGATGAAAAAAAAAATTGGAATGTATATTTGGTTTCAGGCTACAAGCTCTGGGTGATCGCAAAAACGAGCAGGAAAAAGCACTACCCCAAATCGAAGAGGTTTCTCACACTTAAAATGTAATTAAGCCCGAGCTGGTGGATCATCACCTCTCGGCGCGCTCCACATCGGATGGGCTCTAAACTGATGTAACCATAAAGTTATTAAAATTCGGGGGAAAATTCGGATGCCAACTTTCAACTCTCGAGCCGAGGAAACCAATAAAAAACCGATTGGATTAGATTGAACCCAGGGAAATAATGTGGTTCCCATCACCAGTTCGAAGTAGTTAGAGTGGTTGGTTTCCCTCTAATGGAAGCATTGTGATTGATGGGAGCTTCCAGTGATCACAAGTCAACGCAATAGGGAAAACATAAATTCGCTTAAAAACGTGACGTCATATTGCGATCGTGGTGCGAAAATTGTTCCTTACTGTTTTCTCCGGTCTCATCGAAGAAACGAATAAAAAATCCCCTTGTCCGTTTGAAGTGTTGTTGGACATGCGAAGTACCAAGCACACGCTGCAACTTCTCTTTCCGAGCGAAGTCATGGCCAACAAATGCCGATAATGAAAATAATAAAGTAATCGTCGTCTATCAGCAGACCAGGCACATGGACGAGAGAAAGATAAAGATGTGGAAAGAGAACGAAACAACAGCTATCGGATTGCGATAGTGGTGCTTCTTCTGCTGAAGTACGCCATCGAAGACCGGAAATGGACGGAGCTTGAGTGGAAGAACAATTCTAGAGCAATATGTGAAAATGGTCTATGTTCCAAATGGAAACAATGCACAGTGGTCCAGAATACAGATTTAGGTGGAATGACATGTGTTGAGCCTGAAATTGAAACTTTAGACTAAAAGTCTCTTGTACAAAGTTGTTCCTTATAGTTAGGCCCTCATTTGTATCACAATGAATTCTAGGGTGATTCCTATTATCATTGAAATCAAAAATCTAACTTTTTTGTTTGAATAAATTAAGGTACACATTCTTGGGCAAAGTTATAGCTGAACTAATTTCAAGCAACTTTGTTGAAAACTTTCTTGTATCTCTTAAATTTGGCCGATTTAGAGCTATTTTCTTGAATTGAGTTAGGGTGGCTCAAAAAAAAAACAGTTGTTTTGCTCTAGTTTTCTTATTTCGAATTTCTCAGTAAAGGTGTCTTTAAATAACTTTTAGATCCTAAGAAGGATCAAATTTTTGCTGCACAAAGCTTGTCAATATCTTTCGCCGATCATTGCTCATTTCAGCTAAATTCTATTTTTCGTATTTATGAAACAATGATATACTATAATGATAATTTTTATTTGTAAGATGCAAAAAAAGGTGGTAAAGTTTGTGTATGAC